ATTTCAAATCACATTTCTCATGGCTACTCCCATTCCCCTTGCCCTGCAGTGGACCAGACTCGATACGGTCCTCTCATCCTATTCCCCCTCTGTCCGGCTGGGACTCCATCCCATCCCTAACCCCATGCTCTGCAGTGAACTGAGCACAATGATCCTCCCATCCTCTCTCTCTTTCTCCTCTGCCCTGCAGGGACTCTGTCTCTCACCTGACCTGCTGTGAACCGGGCTTTCTGTTCAGCCCAGCGGCTCTCAGAGCATTAACAATTCAGTGCCAAGTCCGCGCCGCTGGCTCTCGCTGATATTCAATTATTAAATAATAATCCCGAATGATACAAGGTAATTTTCTCTGGCTTCAGCGTAATTGTGTTATAACGGATTCAATTTGACGGTAATAGGTGCCGGGGGACGCGAGCGCCGAGCCGGCGGCGGCAGCAGCGCCGAGAATGGCGCCGTCCGCGCCAGAATAATGACATCGCCGACACCGAGAAATGGCGCGGAATCGTCGTAATCGGCGCGATCAGGGCGCGCGCCAAATCTGGCGGGAGTTGGCGCGCCAGCGGCAGCAGGTGAGCTCTCAGTCCAGGGAGGGAGGGGTCATGAATGAAAGAGGAGTAACGCGCCCGTGGCGTCCAAAGAGGTCACGGTGAGAGAGAGAGAGAGAGAGAGAGAGAGAGAGAGAGAGAGAGAGAGAGAGAGAGAGAGAGAGAGAGAGAGAGAGAGAGAGAGAGAGAGAGAGAGAGAGAGAGAGAGAGAGAGAGAGAGAGAGAGAGAGAGAGAGAGAGAGAGAGAGGAAGGAAAAGAGAGAAGGTGGGAGGAAGGAGAGGTAGATGAAAGAAGAGATCCAAGAGAAGAAGAGGCAATAGATCATTGTTCGGCCGCTACGAAGTTCATTGCACGTCAGGACATGCGATAGGTCATTTTGATGCTAGTTAATAACATTTACTCCAGTTTAATTATAAACTCAGGATACTTGCCTGAAGCTGCCAGAGACTTTTTACTCATACACTTAAAAAGAATGTTGTAACGTCAGGTCCTTTAGTTTTGCGTGAAATAAATGGAAATTAAGTTTTTTTAGGAATAAGCTCTAATGCTTTTGTAACCCTGGCCAGTGGGCCACTCTGAGCCTGTAGTTCGACATAACTAGTTGTGACAGCTGGGTGGGATCATGCCAGTATCACTTCTCCCTGTGGGACGGATCAGGGAATGATATCCCGTTCAGCCCGTCCCATTGTGTCGCCTATGTCCCTCATTCAGGCAACAGACGGTGCCATGCATAATTGATACCAGTGCTGAATCGTTAGCCGGCGCCTCTTTACAGCTCAGCAGTCTCGGGGCGGTGGCGGTGCAGCTCCGTCATTGGAGGGCGAGGGGGGGGGGGGTGCAACTGGGGGTGGGGGAGAGGCAACTCCGGGTGCGGCCACCAATAAATACCTACCCATCTAGCAGGACAGCGGGGGCGGGTAGCCGTTTTACAGTGCATCCATCGTCTGTGTAACAATGCCGAGAGTCTGAGAGCCCGGCGGCAGCGGCATGGACGACGTGCCTGCACCAGACACAGGCCAAGCACTTGGGTCCGGTGCAGAAATGGCCGGTCAGGTCGGTCGGTATCACAATGCAGCTCTACACACACGTCCATCACATACTGCCGGGCTGAATTATCTTGGCAAAGGCAGGCATAGACCTTAAAAATGGCGGATATAAGCAGATGTAAACAGAAGAAAAATAAATTTTGTATGAGCAAAAAATGGACCGAAGACACTTAAATCTCCTCTTTCGCAGCTCCAAAAATAAAAGCCACAACCCTAACATATTTGACAACATCATTTTTGTCCGACGTTCTGTCACCTGATGGTATTCCCATGACCAGAATGAATGGCAAAATGACAGTGTGCCAGTGTGTCTGTGACGCGCTCACGATGACCGCAGACGGTGCCCCACACATTTCACCGAGTTATGGCCCGGAACAGGTCAATGGCAGGGGAGGGTCTGAGGTGTAAATAAACGGCCCGGTCAAAGGGCCAGCCGTGACGTCACAGGTCCAATGTCTCCGCGGAGCTGGTGTAACATTCCGCGAACGCTGACAGTACGTTTGAACCCCATTGAATGCGTCCGGGGATGCGTGCGTCACGTGACTTACCCTGTGTCGTTATTATGACGTCACAGAGTTGAGTGGGTGCTGCTCTTCGTAGAACACAAGTGCGTAACAGCTCACCGATCACACAATGCCGGTCATCTGTCTTCGGAGCTGGTTGACACAGGCGGCTCATAACCGTCTCATAAAACAGAATGTCGGACTGCGGCGCAGGGCTGTGGAGACGAACAGGGGAGGTGCAATTGAGCCGTTCTGGCGATCACCTCAGGCAGAATCACGTGAATGACACGTCCGGGTATACGTAGAACGGAAGGAGGGGACCAGTGTTATTCACATCCGGTCTTCACTACCCTGTCACCGTCGCTTTTCACTGTCACGGGATGGTGGGTGCTGAGATACATGCACATTGCACATTGTTGATGTCAGGCATCCACATCCTTGTCAATGCCACGCCATCATGAGGTTGACAAGTCAATATCACGCTGCAACCCTTTCGCTCTCTTCTATTTCCTTTCTTTCCCTACTCTCTCTCTCTCTCTCTCTCTCTCTCTCTCTCTCTCTCTCTTTCCTCTCTTTCCCTCCCTTCGCGTGGTTCGTCCTCTTTCTTATTCCCACTCCTTTCCTGGCTCTCTTTTTATCTATTCCGATCTCCCCTACTGATCATGGTCTACACCAGAGACGTCACCTTCAATGGCCCACCCACCTATCTCTCTATTTCTTCCAATTTCCTTACTCCTTTCTCTCTCTCCTTCTGTCATGCCCCTCTCGGGCCAATCATGGACCCCAGTCGTCACCTCCCACCGCCCCTCTCTCCCTCCTCCCTCTGTCTCCGGCAGATCATGGCCCACACTGACCGTGGCCAGCTAATGAATCGTGCGCCGCTCCACAATACCGGTTACTGGGTGGGCGCGCACGTAAATCTCGGCACGTGTCACGTCGCACGGACTGCACGTGCCCTCTGGCCGCCGGCGCGCGCCGGGGGTGCCGCGGACAGGGGCGGGACACATTATATTCGGCCGGCCGGGCTCGTTATGTCCCGCCGGCCAGCCGGACACGTTATGTCCTCCGGCCGGGCCTGGCGCTGTGTCCGCGCAGTGCAGAGGTGACGGGGGTGTCGCCTGGTCCGACGCCCCGTGTGGGGTCCTCGCGGTGGCCTGCCGACATGGATTGTTTATGTGCCGGTCGGTCGGACCGGACCTATATCTCAGTGAGCTGGGATGGACCTATATCTCAGCGCGTGGGTGGGACAGGGGCTGGACTGAGCGGCTACCGGGGGAGTTGGTGGGGAGGGATATTGCTGAATGATAAGTCATGATATGATTGCGCGTGTCTTCATATAGCTATAACCGATAGACGGCGCAGCATGACAATTGTCAATGACCATGCCTCGTTCGAAAGGGACCAGTAGCATTCATGAGCCAGACAGTTTCTTTCTGGTTATTGGCGCCACCTTCTAAACATCAAGCACTAGCAAAGAAATAGTTTGTGCATGCAACCAGTGCAAGGCCTAAAGCCGTTTACGTTTGGACAATTTTACTTAAAAAAAAACAATTTCAAATCGACGTCCTCATTGATTTTCACCGGTATTTGGCTCTTCAAGTGTCATATTGTTAATTTGACTAATACAAAGACAATTTGCATTGCACAATTATTCGAAATAGGTACCTAGTACCTACAATTATTAGTCAACATCGCTCCACTTATCACAGTACGGATCCTTTAGCAGTGTCTCCCATCCGCACGTCCCCCACAGCTGTTCCCATTCCCGATAGGAGCAAAAACTATGTTCGTCTGCCTTTTATCGTCACTGCTCTGTCTCAAGTGAGATCCTGTGACTCCAGTCACCCCGTTGCTTTCGTCTTTGATAGCTGCTGGTCGGTAGCAAGCGTTTTTGAACAGGCGGGTGGAGGAAATCGCAAAATTGTTTGATGAGGGGAAACCCGTTAGAAAGGAATCTCGGCACTCGGCATCTTATTTATAAGAACCAAACGGTAACTTATATCCTTCGGGGACATCGTCATAAGTTCCGTAAACACAGTCTGCATCCACCAGTAATGAGGGCTGTGTGTGCATTGCCGTGGCTCAGTTTGGCCCAGTCCGTCCGCTGTCTTCATATCGCCAGCTTGATGCGTGGTCCGCTGTGTCTATGTATTTCGATATTGCCTGTCAGTGTCTCTAGTCGGCTGTGTCTATAGCGCCGACCGATGTCTCTGTATCCCCGGTCCGCTGTGTACATAGATTCGCTTGCCATTCTGTCTTTATCTCCGGCCCGCTGTGCTGTGTCTGTATCTCCGGTCTGCTGTGCTGTGTCTGTATCTCCGGTTCGCTGTGTCTATATCTCCGGTCCGCTGTGCCTCTATCTCCGGTCCGCTGATGAGGCCGTCGCCGTCCGCCGGCCGGTGTCCCGCTGGGGACCACCCCGTGGACCTCTACTCTCCGACCCGTCTCTGGCAGCTGCCTATACATCCCAGGTGGTCAGGGGACACCACACCCTCGCCCCCGCCCCCGCCCCGGCGCAGCATTGTCTCCGCCCGCCGGCCGGCCCGGCACTAAATTAATGCCGGCGACATCCCTTTCACAGGACAATGGCGACCGGTGCCGAGAGCGACCAGCCGGCCCCGGTGGCCGGTGCGCTGACGAGATTGTCAGCTCGGCTCCGATTGTCACAGACGGCTGTGTTTGGCACGGGCGCACGCCAGCGCCAATTTTATGTGCGTGTTTTCCTCTCGTTATGTCTCGCTGTTACCGCGTTAGGCTCGATGCGAGCGCCAGAATATGGCTATTGAGGCAGATGTCGAGTGTGTCTGTCGAGCGGAAATGCAGGTTTTCATTTTTCTATCTCAATTGAGGCTGGTGCTATCTAGCATTTTGAAATATTTGATGTAGGTAGGGCTCAGCCCGAATAACACTCACTTGGTGTGTTTATTTGCAATATTTCTCCAACTCTCTATGAACACAACTTTGAAGATCTCTAACAATAGCTCAATATCTATCACGCATGCACTAAATCACAGATATAGCTGCAACATCGCTTCAGTCTTATTTGCAAACCCATCAGTCATTTCCTGGAGATTCAAGCTAGTCAAAACCATTACCTTGTTGTCTTCCAGCACATCTCCACCCAAAACAGTTTACATTTCTGAGTACCTCACACGAACAACGTATGTACACACCTGTTCATCTCAAGACAAAAACTCGCATTACTATTCGGCTCTCGCTCTACATTCCGAATCACTACTCGCCGCTCTCGAAGCCGTCCTTGTGTACTGAGGTCTCGAATGGTCGGAAGAATGTGCTGTGTTCTGGTGAGCTGCTGGTCACCGCCCCCGCCGCCGCCGAGGAGGCCACCAGCGGAGGTGAGAGGGAGCCGCGCCCGGCCGACCCCAGCAGCGGCGGCTGCGGCGGCGGCGGCAGCAGGAAGCCGGAGGCCAGGCTGGGCTGCGGCCGCAGTGGCAGCGCCGGGTACGGCGAGAAGCGGCCCTTGGCGGCGGCCAGCGGGCCGTAGTAGCCGGCCAGGTGCGGCAGCACGGCCGCCGGCGGGCCCCCCGGGTGACCGTGGTGGGTGGGGTGGTGGTGGTGGGGCGGCGGCGGCGGCGCGGCGCCGTACGGCCCGTAACCGCCCGAGGCCACGGCCGCCTGCAGCAGTAGCGCGGCCAGCGTCGGGTCGGCGAAGCGCGGGTCGAGCGGCCAGGCGGTCATCTGCTGCCGCTTGTGCTTCATCCGACGGTTCTGGAACCACACCTGGAGACACAAGAGACAGCGGAAGATGGTGAAGTCAGTCAGCCAGCATTCACTGGTAATTTTCGTCCAGGAGAATTAGCTTTCGAAATGCATTTCATTTGAATCCGACTAAATAAAGCATCTCAACTTGTACCAGAACCGACTTGGGTTCGAATCTCCCATTCATTGGCATCCCGTGTAGCCTGCACCATTCATTTCGCTGCAAGATGACTGATGTTTATAAAAGGCTCCCAAGCCGTCGCCCACCGCGAGAGAGGACTCCAATGAAGACTGATTGCCCACCAAGACGTTTAATGTAAATTGTAAACGAGCTTGATAAAATACGCCTGCGCAGCGAAGACAGACAGTTGCTCGGCGCTGAGGTGGCATTAATTAATATTGGCTTCCGGTAACATCGCAGTGCGTTCAGTCCCGTCATGACCCGACATGGACTGATAAACATATGTCCGACAGGTCCAAATGGCGGCGATGCGCGTGCCACCCGAAGAGACGCCCTCCCGGCTGCCGACTGCCCCAAGACCCAGTTTTACTATATGCACGCCACAGTGGTTACGTTCCGAATCTAAAATGTTGTCCGTTTGAGAGAACTGTGCTCTTGCCGTGTCTCTGCTCTGGTGCCTATGATATTTCGGAGAATAGGAAAATGGGGAGGAAGAGAATGTTCTTCATCATCTAACAGCAATAACTGGCTCCACGACTGGCATACATCAGCAGTGACCAGAAGGACGCTACAGTCAGTAGCCCCACCACAATTCTAACTCTTGTTACCCTCGACAAAACAAAAACCCAACCATGCATGCTCCAGCATTCGCCCACAGAGCGGAGGCACTCTCAGACACCGAGCAAATAGCGCTGCCTGGTCCGTTTGTTTGCTGAGTACCGGCTCTCCGGTAGGGCACCCCGGGGTCCGGACTGACACAGGATTAGGGCTCTCCCGGGCACTGTCACAATCAAAACGCCGGACAATTGATGACGCAGTCACCTCTCAGATAAACCTACAGTGATGGTCGCTTGACTCACTGGATGGTGAGCTGTCACGTGAACAGAGGCAATGAGAAGGTTTAGTCGGGAGATAGTGTAACGGATGGGATGCCTTAGGTTGACATGCAAACAAAATATAAGTAGAATTTTGTGATAAAATACCAATTGGTGTTGAATTATAGCGGGCGTATGTAAACTGTACATTTTGCTCAAATTTGTCCAATGTCTGACAACTCAAGGTGTACTTCGACCGCCATTCCAGGACTTGAAATGGTCAAACTCGTTTCTGAATGCATCAACGGTTTTGGGCACATTTACGACTACCACGACTCTCACGTCTGAAGTAAGCGATATTGGATCATTTTCTGGATAAAGATGGATGAGAATATTACTTAGAAACTTCTCGTGTGGTTAAATTATACAACTTTGGCTATTCTTTGCGAAACCGAACAGGGTGAAGGGTTCTGCTTACTCTGGGTAAAACGAGCGGCCGCGTTGTGAACCAGCGCATGGGCAGGGAGTGCCTACTAAATCTCAGTGAAACGGAAACAATGAGCGGCTAAATCCCTAAAATGGCATATAAAAACATCATCAAAACCATGTAATGGCCCAATTTCCTGTCATTATTGCTGGCACAAGTAAGTCAGCTGATACGTGACAATCCGTGCTGATACGTGATATCAGGGCGAGCTGAGCGCTGCAGAATTCATGGCGTTTTCACTGAGACGACTTTTAGTGTAGTCAGTGGGGTTAAAGTTCCAACACCCGAACAATTTTTTTTTGCCTGAATAATGCTTGTAAACATCTCTTTTGTTTTGAGTGATTCTTCAGTATTTTGCAATATCGTCGGACAACTGTAATATAATGCCTTACGACAAAGCGTTCTTGTCGCGATAAGATGAACATTATTAACGATGCATTTTTAATCACCCATGATCATAATTTACCTTTATGGTTCCCTCGGCGAGTCCGAGCTCCGTGGCCAGCTCGTTCCTCTTGGGTCGGCTGACGTAGTTGTCCTTGAGGAACTCGGCCTCGAGCCGTTTGATCTGGTCGGGCCTGAAGGCGGTGCGGTAGCGCCGGATGCCCGGGTCGGGGGTACCGCCGGTGCTGAGGTCACCAGAGGTCAGTTTGGTGCCGGATGGGGGTGGCGGGGTTGAGCGGTGCTGTGGGCGCTCCTCAGACAGTTGGTCGGTGCTGTCACACGACATCGCCATCTCTCGACCTGAAAACACAGACAAATCAGTCAGAAAAATACTCAGGAAAAAGGCGGAGACACGACGAGCCTCCATGTTTTGGAGTCTTTCGCACCCATCATCCTTATCCTTATTATCTTCAAGACCATCATCATCATCATTATCATCATCATCATCATTATTATTTTTTCCTCTTCCCTTTATCTCCACGATTTAATTGATTCATCATTGCCGTTAAATGTGTATCCCCTATATTTCAATCTAGACGTGACCAATGGGCTTACTATGTAGATGAATTCACATTTCTTTGTACAAGTCTGAGCATTAATAGCCGTTTTCACGACGGGCTATCCGGCGAATGCACCTGATTTGACCAAATCTGCACTTAATTTCTTTTACAGCGAATATCTTCATTTTATGAATTTATTTCAGTGTTTTAATCGATGATGCTCTCTGATAATATGACAAAGCAGGCATATAAGCAATTAGTGCAACCCTAGCTGATAGCTGCTAAGAGACACACTGAACCTGATTTGACCAAATCTGCACCTGATCTGTACCAGATGTGCACCAAACGTGTACCAGATGGCCGTCGTGAAAACGGCTAATATGTTGAAAACTGTCTGATTATCAAGAATTAAAAATCATCACAATGCTCAGCAGTGCAACGATCCGAAAATTGCACATCTCTTTTCGGTTGTCCCATGCAGTGTCGCTGGGTTTCCTGGGATTAGGGCTAGGACTGGGACTGAGAAGTGCGATTGAGACAGAGACCGCCGCTCCCCTCTCTGACCAGATCTGATCCCCCACCCTCGCTCCTCCCCTCGGTTCCCCGCTCGCCGCCGCTCTGCCAGCTCTGCTCCATTCGCGGCGCACCAATACAATTCCGGCGCACCGATACAATGCCGCCGCTCGATACAATCGCGGCGCCACGGAAGCTCGCTAATTGGCTCTGTAAGGCCGGCAATTTTATCACTGGCTGTAAACTTCTTGTTGCGATCAAGGTGTGCTCCGAGGAAGAAGGCAGGGAAGCGAAGAAAGAGAGGAGGCACACAAAAAAATGAAGGAGAAGCACGGTAAGGAAAGAGAAAGAGCAAATTAGGTAGCAATCAAGCAGGAATGATTAAAACAACGTCTTATGGTAGGCTGGGACCCGAGTATCTTATCTACCTATAGTTTCCATGAAAACAATAAAATGAGTTTTGATATGAAAGCTGGTTTAAAAATGCATCGGGATGTAAATCAAAAGAGTGACTTTAATTTAAGTGTAATTTGAAGTGTAAAATGAAATCCGTAAAGTAAACGTTATTGTTCTTAACCCTATTAGTGGCAGGGGGGGGGGTTGTTTTCATCCACCCCTCAGGTTTTTCGGGAATATCTCCGAAACCGCTGAAGCTACGATGCTGAAATTTTCTGACTTTTCCTAAAACTAAATTGGGCACATTCCCTGAAAATTTCAAGTTCATAACTTCACCAGGGGCGGCTCCAGATCACTGGGAATTGGGGGTCCTATTCGTGAAGCGAGTCATTTGGGCGAAGATCACGATGCTGCACCAGTTTTACGAACAGTGAATGAAAGGTATCATGTGATAACATATACAAAGTTATTGTGCATCCTCTTTTGACACGTTTTTGCTATAATAGGCGGATCCAGGCGTCCAAAAAGGGGGGGTTATGTTTTACCTCCCAACATAGGTGCCCTGACACCGCCTATGCATGACCAATACATTTGTAGTCGTTCTCTCATAAGAAAATTGTAACATAACAAGACCATTACCACCCTTTTTAGAAATAGTACCAACAAAAACCTTATTTACTATACTTTTTGTGTACCCCCAATCTCAATGATCTGTATCCGCCTGTGATTTTTGAAAATTCATATTTTTAGGATCCATGTGAATTCCTGGTTCATTCTCTATCGATCGGCAAAAGTTGCGTTATGATTGGTTCAGAAACCTGGCCGTGATAAACAGTCTAAAATGTATCTGCAATTTGCCCGTTTTTACCCCCCTCTACCCCCCCATTGACATTTTTTAATTTTTATTTTTTAGAAATGTAGATCACGTTCAGCGAAATCGAGTGCCGTTTGAATTTTGAAAATCGGCCCGTTAGATCTCGAGATATCAAGGGGGGTCGTAAACAGCCCCCCTGCCACTAATAGGGGTAGCCAGGAGCCTGCCACTAATAGGGTTAAATTAGGTAAATTTTCAGCATGTCGGAGAAAGTGACCTGTCTTATTTCTTGACTAGTTCCATCCCGAAAAATATCTAAAATGACAATGCAGGCTGTATAAAAAATGCAGCAACCTTCCACTTTCACCGGCTATTTACAATGCCATGATTTCAGGGACTTCACTGTCTCAGAAAGGTATCCGTGAGCCTCTCTTGCAATCACTGCAAGCCTGCTCATCAGTGCAGGTCGCCGGCAAGATCCTGTCGTCTCAGCAATGCCGTAACACTAGGAAAATTAATAAAACGCCCATTAACCGGCGATGACTGGCTCCGATCTGCAGATAAGCGTGACAGGGGTCGTGCTCAGGGCCATTATGCCGTGCACACAAACGTGACGCAGATCGGTAACGAGCGACATTATCTGGCGCGGCTGGTGCGGGCGGCGCGGGCGACAAAGCCGGCGCACGAGCACAGCGGCGCATTACGGCGCCGTAAGTATCACCCAGGGTCTGTGCGGGTCACCAGGCTGACCAGCGCGGGGAGGGGGAGGGGTGGGGAGGGTGCAGCACGGTATCCGGCGAGTCGATCATGAGCCGATCGGTCATTTATTGTCATTAGATGCTGCAGTCTCATCACCGCCGCAGTCCGCTAACGTTCGGATTGATGACGTCATCAGAGGTCAGAGGCGGCGCGGCGAGGCCAAGGCAGGCGGTACTCGGAGAGCTATTCCGCAGAAGAATGCCTTCCTATCGCGGCATCAGATACATAAACACCATTTCACTTAATGCCTTGAACGTCTAGTGCCCATTTCGTTCGCCCAAACACCTATCAAGGACTGTGTTTCAGTCTCCGCTGCTGCTGCCGCCGCCGGTGCAGGCGCCGTGTGGGGGTCCGTTCGGGCACTGGGTGGGGGGTCGGCGCCTGCCGCTCCTCCACTGACGGGCCGGGCGGTGAGCGAGCGGGATTGATGGTGCAGCGCTGACGCGGCGCCTCGCCGTCCGGAACTGACACCCGGACAGCAGGCAATCAGGCGCGCGCGTGACAATTATGACGCGACGCGCCGACATGGACCACCGCGGAGTACGCTCATCTGTGCACGCTGCGCGCTGTGCACTGCGGGCCATGCACCAGCCACGCTGCACAGTGGACCAGTCAATTACGCTGGTGGTTTCATCGCGTGCGATAGGCGATATCGTAATATCGTTTGAGCCCCGGGGCAGGATAAAAGCTTCAGACCACCTGAAGCATGGCACGACCACACACCTCATCGAGTTCGAAGCAACTCAGCTCCCAGCGCTTTTTTGCCAAATGCTTGAGTAAGCTGCATCGCACGACACCAAGCGCTTGAAGTATGCTGCACCGCACAACACCAAACGCCTGAATGATATGCTGCACCGCACTACACCAGGCGCCTGAATGATATGCTGCACCGCACTACACCAGGCGCCTGAATATGCTGCACCGCACTGCAGCGTGTGCCTAGATGACATGCTGCACCGCACAACACCAGGCGCCTGTATGCTATACTGCGCCGCACTACACCGACTACCGAGCGCCTGGATGTTATGCTGCACCGCACTACACCAAACGCCTGAATGATATGCTGCACCGCACTACACCAAGCGCCTGTATGATGTGCTGCACCGCACTACACCAAGCGCCTGAATTATGCTGCACCGCACTACACCAAGCGCCTGAATTACGCTGCACCGCAAGACACCAAGCGCCTGAATTACGCTGCACCGCACGACACTAAGCGCCTGGAAGCTATGCTGCACCGCAAGACATCAAACGCCTGAATATGCTGTGCCGCACTACACCAAGTGTCTGACACCGCACTACACCAAGCGCCTGAATGTGCTAATTTGGCATAATATCAAAAGTAGAAGAAAATACGAATCCCTTCATGCTTGGCAGCCTTCGGATTTCCTTCCACTGTGAAGTGCACACATCGAAATGCATCCCTAAGTAAAAGCATGCCGAAGACTATATACTAGAAATATTATCTAATAAGGAACTGTTAAAGACTCGCCTTATACTAAAACGGGATGGATCCCATAACTTTGTCCAGCGACCTAGACCGAGTGTATTGAAAGGGAAAGAGTCTAGTTTGGGATCCAAGTAAGGTCACAATAAAGGTCAGGGTCAGGATCAGAGCTGTTGCCAAGGCCCAACTATAGGCTCGGGGCGTAGCCGGGAACCGACAGTCGAATACAAAGTCGAACCCAATCAAAAGGGTCGAAACGTGACATGTATGTAGTTGTAGACGGGGTCGAATGGGGATTCAATCAAAGCAGAAAAGAATGCTGGGGTCAGGACTTTTGGTCCAGTCGGGGTCAGACCGGGGTCGAAGCTAGAGCCGGGATGGGACCCGGTTCCAAATCAGGGCCGGGTCAGGATTTGACCCAGGGTCGAAGCTAGGTCGCGTCAGGGTCGCACCGGGGCCCGAGCCGGGTAGTTCAAGCCTCGGTTAGAGCCGTGCTGGGTGTCGCACCATCACCCAGGCGGCGGGGCTCCGTCGAACTCCACCCTGGGTGGGACGACTGGCCGGTGTCAGTCGCTCGGCCCCCGGCGCCGACGACCCGCCCGGCGCCGAGCGATGAGATTGATGATGTGTGTCCCGAGACATGGAGCCGGGTGGCCGGCAGGCCGCTACAATATCGATCGGACATCCATACTCAGCAGATGGGACGTGTATGCAGGATGATGCCCAGTTCCGTGCACAATTAGTGATATACTTTTACCGGGATAATTAAAGGACTCACTTGTTAGGAGGAATGCTACCCATCCGGTATTCGGCCAAGTTCGCCCGATGGCAGTTGTTTATATAAATATGGACAGTGATGATGTCATGCAAATTTTAATGATGTTGAGGGTGCCATGAGACCGTAATGATGTCTGCTGGCGAAGGGGATGACGAGTTGCACTACAACAAAAACATAACACTCAGTGCTGCTGTTTACCTACCATAATATCGTAGGCAGTCGATTGCCAATTGGGATTTAAGATATGCAAAGTAACCTTATAACAGAGATCTTTGAATGTGGGGTGCTGACCCTTGTCAGGATCATTTGCGTATATCTATTTATCAAAAGGCTCGATTGTATTAGGCAGCTTGTAAAAATTGTCCTGGAACTCGGGTTTGCTTTTTAATAGATAATCACTGTTGATGTTCCAACCAACAGTGTTTTGAACTTTTGAGCACAAATGCCTTCAGTAATCATTTCAGCTATCATTAAAACCTTCAGTTATCATTTTTCGTTCGACATAGTGTCAGCAGCTCAGTCATTAAAGGTCAAAGTTAACGATTTGCCGACCAAGGTCACCTGCGTCGCTTGCATCAATTCTGCAGAGCAGTGTTACAACACGCTTTCTTTCATCAAGCCAACCATCCGAGCTATTCTTGCCTGTGACACGTGACCGCAGCTCAGAGACAAGCGTCCCGACAAACACGACACGCAGATCACTCCAACACCAAACACCCGAGTACAGTGGAACTTCTGATGGCGTTTGTCTGTCCCAACTTTGACTGTTTCATAGGTCTACCCACTGTCCAGGCCCAGCCCCTGACTCTCAGTCGGCCTACCCCCCCCCCTCCAACCCATCACACCCAGCAGATCCCAACCTACAGCTGAACTGTTCCTCAGATCTGCTCAGCTGACTCCATCCCCGAGCCCCTAAGCCAAACGACACTGCGCACCTTCCCTCTCTACACTCGCCTAGACTGGTGTCTGAGAGGTCAGTCGGGCAGCTGCTGCTGTCTGCGCTGACCTCCAGAGGTCGCTCTGGTGACCTGGTGACCTCTGACGTCCGGTGACTGGCTATGAACGTCACCAGCGCTCCGGGAGTCACCGTGTGACCGGACATGGTGAGTGACGGCTGCTGTCGACTGTTGCTGCTGCGACGATTGTTGCTGCTGCTGTCGACTGCTGCTGCTGCCTCTATGACTGGTATAACTGCTGACGATTGTTGTTGCTGACGACAACTGCTGCTGCTGCTGCTGCTGACGACAGCCGTTGCTGCTGCTGCCGCTCCTGCTGCTGTTGCCGCAGATGACACCTGCTGCCGCTAACGCTACCAACTGCTGTTTCTGAGTGTTGCCACTGAGCTGTCGGCGACGGATAGGGTTGGCCAGTGGCGGTGCCGGCTGACGGGGTTGGCTAGCGGTGGCGGCGGAGGCGGCTGGGCGGCCGGGCGAACTCCTCTCAGCACGTCCGCCGTGCACAGGTCGATAGCGCGCCGCGAGAGCCGACCGACGTCCCTGATTGGTCGAGCCGCGCGGGCGCCGACCGCCCGTTGGCTGAGAGCTGGCGCGACCGGGAGACCGTTTTGGCGCGGCGCGGCGAGCCAACCGAGGTCGGCCGGGCTACCGGGAGATGATGACAAATGTATCGAAGTTGTACGTGATTTGCAACAGGAGGTGTGCAGAGGTGGCAGGTGCACTAATGGGGTGACGGTGGCCCGCCTCAGGCACGTCGTGGGCCCGGCCTACCTGACTTGAGGAACGTAGTGTGCGTTTCGATTCTCGGCCTGTCACAATCTCTAAGTCGCTAAGCAGCTGCTGCCGCGAGCGCGCCTCGCACGAGCCACGATTTAATTCAGGAGTTACACAGTCTTACTGATGGGGCATCGGCGAAACTTGGCTGACAGTTGAGAAATATCTACCACTACGAGGCTCTGTAGATAATTGAAAACTTCATTCCGGTAGCCTGGTGAGAAAGCTGAGCTCTGATATTAAACTAGAGATGATGTTGCGTTTCTTGGCGAAGATAATCATTTTCTTCCAACTTCGGTACAGTAATGAAAATTGAATAAGGCATAGACACCGATGCGATGTTGGAGCAATGTGTTCTCGCTCCACTAAAATATAATTTGATAAGCTATGTACTTCGCTCCTGGCTCCATGATTATATATATCATCAATTCATCATAAAGATCAATTCAAAGGGTAATGTCGTGATGGCGCTTGCTTTTGAGCAGGAAGTTGAGCCACAGCCCAACAGCAGTCACAGTCTTCCTGACGTTTTTACCCCTACATTACATATGTATGTACCCTTCATATCACATTGTCCATGCCTCTTTCCTTGCATGATGATGTATCCTGCTGAGTGCTGACAAACCAGCATTCAATCTTCAGTCTTCATGTTGCTGAAACTCTGAAATGGCTGTATTGTATCTTTTAGGGGTATATGCCGGCTTCGGATGGATGATTAAACTGTCTCACCACAAGTGATTTTATGTTATTTTTTGTCGAAGGAGAGAGAACTAACCATCGTGTTTGTGCATAAAAGCACATTTAATGTGTTCCTCTCTTAGCACCCGTTAAACGAAAGCAAAAGTTACCATATCCGTTTTCATAATTAGGCTGCTGTCCCTGCAAAGAGTGGAAGCAGCTCAATTAATATTTTCAGTGCCTCTTTTCTTGTACTTGTTTGAAAAAGTGTGAGCATCGTGTCGGTCTAGTCTTGTTTCCGTGTGCAAACGGGAGGCCACACATCTCAATAGACACAGCTAAGTGCATTTATTTTGAAACAGGTTTCCTATGAATTTACGAGGCTATGCAACGAGCAACACCGAGGAAACTCAACACCTGTCCTCCGCCATCAGCCCATAGACGGATTGATGAGTGAGTGGCAAGAAAAGCGGACAGTTTCCCAGGCCGGCGACTGGGAGCTGAAGCGATGAGAATGAGAAGCTGCCTATTGATCTCTGGACTTCAGGAGGGAGAGAGTAGGGCAGAAACTCCGCGGCTCTATCCCCGGCACGTGGTGGCCGCCCGTCGCTGATTCGCACGCCAGCCGTCTGCCGTCTATGGGGCGCCGCGATTGTATCTGGTTTAGGGCTGCAATTCGCGCGCGTCCCGGCTCGCGACCTTGACTGTGAACGCCCGTCTGTGTCAAGGTGTGAGGTCGGCCGCCACTCGCGAATTCCAGCTCCCCGATTGGTGGTTGTAAACCTGTCTGGGGGGGGGGGGGGGCTGTCTGGGGGCTGCTGCCGGTGGGGAGACTATTTGGGAGAGCCATTGATCACAGATGTCTACCTAAGGTCACATCCGGTGGAGACTGACTTATTCAGTGGCTCATATGTCACTCTTGGTCCACCGAAATTACATGCGCCCGCTCGCTAGGTTCGCGCCTCGCGGCAGAGGGGGGAGGGGCTGACCATCGGCACTGCACGCGCCGCCTGCAGCTCAGCGCAGCGGACAGTTACGAGGGGAGAGGCGCCGAACCGTCACGGCTTGACGAGGGACAGAGAGAGCGGGCGCGTCTGCCGGCGGCCCGTTGGGCGTGTGTGCCCACACCGGTCACTTTCCCCGTCTCAGTCACAGTTTGACGCGGCCGCCGTGCGGCGGGGACGGCTCCCGTTCTCACGGGCGCACACAGTTTCCCTACAGAGCCTCTCCCGGTTGGACACGCATGAAATTTGTCTCCAATCGTCGGGTGTCGGCGCGGCAGACGACAGCTCCATTGTGCTGGGCACAAACGCCGCCCTTGTGGAGACGGATGCAGTGGTAGCGGGCCGGCCGCCATAAACCCATTGGGCGCCGGCCAGCGCACGGCTCTGTCCAAACATTGACGCTGCCCGGCCCTAAATCACCGCCTCCCCGGAGAGTGCCGAGAGCAGAGACGCCCGCCGCCGGCGGCGCGCCGCCGCGCCTGAGAAGTTCACGCTTAAATCGGGGGACGCCAAAATGTTGCCATAACGGGCTCCAGATTCACCACAATAAAGCCATAAAGCGGGACGTCTTACTCGCCGACATTCTGAACGGTCTGCCCGTGTCACCGGACGAAAGTAAAAAACGAACACGCTTTCCAATAAAAACTAGCGGTATGGCGCAGGCCGGCCGCGGCGACGCGGACATACCACAGAAAGGGAGGCGGGTTGGACCCGACCACCGGCGCAGAGCTGCCGTATAAATCGGCCCGAGCTATTGCACTTCCGAAAGTGAAGGTGAGCTAGAGGGCGTGAGATGTGGGCGGTCCGGGGCCGGGAACGCCACGCTTTAACCCGCCGTGTTTTGGTTAGGGTCGGCCGTTCCGCGGAAGGGCCGCTATCCAGGAAATCGGTGACCAATTGACTTTCCCAAACGGTGCTCGCTCTTTATTCTCTGGACGCTAATTCGAAGCGAAACTTCGCGTTATGACCCGAAGTGAGGGGCTCAGTAGGGGGTGAGAAGGAAGGTACGCTTCGAGAAACTGGCGCCATCCAACGCAGAAGCTGGTTAAAAGACGGCCAATAAACGCTACAATAACAATCGTATGCAGGACTGTTATAGCTTCGTAATTGCACTAACATAACTGCATTGCACGCGGATAAAAACATGGCTCATTTTATAAAGTGTTCATTGAAGGAACTCAAGCTACGAGACATTCCGGACCTGCATATAGCGAGCAGCGAGCATATGCTGGTGACTTATTTTTCTGTTGCAAACGCCTCCGTTGATTAAATCCAAACAATGGCTAACTGTTCAGTGTAGTGACGGGGTGCACGTGCGAGCGGCACGTTTACTTTTCAGCTGCTTGGGCGCGCTGCCGCTAGCCGGCAGCTATTATGATTTTGCTCCCCCTTTGGCCTAAACAGCAAGAAACCTGCAAGATTTGCTCGTCTAAACCAATTCAAATGCCTGGCAGTTTCATGCTATTTACGTTAGATAACCCAATCTCAACGTATTGAGATTAGTTCCGACAATGTTCTCTGTAGCCATGATTCGAGCCTACAGCGTGCGCGTTTTCCAGAGCTCTCTGGTTCTCTGTGGCTCTGCGTTAGCGCTGTGCACGCGGCTTCCGGTCATCAATCGTCTCTCCTCATACCGCACCGCTCAGTCCCAGTCAGAATTCACCATTCAAAAGACTGTCGGCACATCTCTCAGGTCTCAATCTACCCTGACCGGCAGCGTCCAGCGCCGCTAAGGCGTGGGAACTGGTCCCCTGTGGCGCACGCCTGTGCCGGCGGGCCCAGGGGGCGTGACCCGTCCCCTCTGACCGGGGTAGGGGCGGGGTCGGGAAACCGATCGGTCTCTGTGATGACAGCCTATGCGATTGATCTGGCTGGCCGGTCCTTCCGCGTGCGCGCGGTGCGTGAAGCGAATCGGAGCCAAAACCAACTTCACACGGGTTCGGAGTTCTGTGTGATCGTGGTATCTTATCAGGTACGGAAATGGGATAATGGATAGGACATATGGCTTTGGTGACCATTTCAGACAGAGCAGCTTTGTATCATCTGAATTGTTCGATGATAATTGATAGATGGGAAGTATGTGTTTCCAACAACGATCTGCTAGTTGCAGTACTGTCTGAGTGCCGACTGCACAGGTACGTTTAGCTTTCTTTATGAAATTAGATGCGTCTGCACTTTCGTAACATTATGCATCCTCCCGTCGACAATTGGCAAAGCAGCATTATTGGGTTTGAATGACGATTCGGTTGAAGTGCTCTATTGACTACTTAGGGTATAACTGTAGATGCAAGAGCAGAATCTTTCGTCAGAAGCCAGAGAGGGAGTGATGCGAGGTCACCCTCTCGTAGAACATAGGAAGGAAGGCAGGGTCATGGTCAGGGTAGGCTGTAGGGAACGGTCGCCAGTTTGATGAGGCTCATTATCGCCTGCCGAAGTGGTGACATGCCGCGGCGAATTTCCTGATGGATCAGTGACCTGGCCGCGGGCCGCGGCGGCACGGTGCATGGGGTCTGGTGGGGGAGTCGCGTCACGCTGGACCAGGGGTAAGGCGCCGAGGGCCGGGCGCCGAGGGCCGGGCGCCAGGGGCACCCGGGGCTCGCCACCGCAGTGGCGAATGCAGCTTACCACGGATTACCGCCGCCCGGGTGATTAGGACCTGTTTAAAGCGGCAGAGATCAAACGGGACAATGTCGGCGGTTGTGACTGAAAAGGCGTCACAGGGATCACGGCTAGCGCAACGATAGGCGATACTCTGTGTTCGCACACTGCTTTGGTGATAAGATGCGCCGTGAAAATGACCACATACCGCGGTCATTTAGTGGAATTTATCTGTAGCATCAGCTCATCATGAATCCTATCGACCGTGAAAATTGTCGGAAGCTTTGAAGCTAGATTCTTACCTTATGCCCGTGTTGGTATCATATGTCTGTCCCTTCGTCTATGAACCTAAACATGACGATCGTTGTCAGGTAAGAACTGCATCTGATTCGCATCACCACGCGATATTACCTGCTGGCTTATTACCGCCACTGCCACTTACCGGCGTATTACCGGACAGGACATTGGCTATACCTGGTCAGATCGATCACA